AGTAAATTCCAGTCCATGCCATTGTCTGCAAAAAGCTTTTCCAGCATTATGTCCAATGGAGCTGTCAGCAACAGCCATAGAAACCTGGAAAGGGAGAAATCTAACCATTGGGGGCTATTAGTCTGTGTATGCATATAATCATAAAATCATATAATCATAGAATCATTAAGGTTGGAAAAGACCTCTAAGATCATCGAGTCCAACCGTCAACCCAACACCACCATGCCCACTAAACCATGTCCTTAAGCGCCTCATCTACACGTCTTTTAAATACCTCCAGGGATGGGGACTCAACCACTTCCCTGGGCAGCCTGGTCCAATGTTTAACCACTCTTTCAGTAAAGAAATTTTTCCTCATGTTCAATCTAAACCTCCCCTGGTGCAACTTGAGGCCATTTCCTCTCATCCTATCACTTGTTACTTGGGAGAAGAGACCAACACCCACCTCACTACAACCTCCTTTCAGGTAGTTGTAGAGAGCGATGAGGTCTCCCCTCAGCCTCCTTTTCTGCAGGCTAAACAACCCCAGTTCCCTCAGCCGCTCCTCATAAGACTGGTTCTCCAGACCCCTCACCCGCCTCGTTGCCCTTCTCTGAACACGCCACCACCACTCAACGTCCTTCATCTACCTAGTAGATAATCTACATAGTAGATAATCTACAAGTACAAGTCTTTGCTCTTGGTTGATTTTCAAGCACTTGCAATACATGTAGTTACTAAAATTAGTAAAAATATATTCAAACAAGTCTTTACATTTTTCCTATGATTTGGCGGAAACTTAATAAACAAATCTTTATATTTTAGACTTTAGTAAATGCATCTGCTTTCTATGCTATTTTTTACGACTTCACCAGAAACTCAAGTATTTTTCAATACAGATCTTTAATGGACATGAACAAAAAATTGCCATAGTTATCAGTATAAAACAAAAATCTTCACAAGAACAATATTTCTCACAGTGCCTTCAAATTTCCTCTTAGCAGTGTTCTCAGAAAGTCCGTAAGATTTCCATGTTAAAATTCTACAGTGAGATAGAACAAATAAAGCAAGAATCATTTGACTACATTATGCAAAAGACAAATCTAGATTTCATTTAAATGGATATATTAGTCAAAATTATAATAGTATTTGGAACTGCAATAGGTAGAGCTCTGGAAGATTATTCATTTATGCATGAAAATTTGATTATTTGTTTCAAATGGCAGCATTCAAAAATTATGAGAACAGGTGATAGGCAATGTTCAAATGAAGGGCATATTTTGGAAATTTGCTTTTCTCTCTCTTTCTCAGATCTAGAAGGATTGCACGACAAGTGCCTATTAAAAAATGTGTTAAAGAAACCAGTGAGAGTCATGCAATTAATATCTTGAGTATTTGTGCAAAAGTTTCTGTAAGACAGTCTAGCTATATTCTGTATGTTATGGGAATATAGATGTCTGTATCAGTATAATGAAGAAGAAATCAACATATTCTGTAAGTATTTTAGATTTCACTGTGTGCTCGAAATTGCTAATCAAAACGTTAATACTGGAGTCCATAATGGCCTCAGCCTCAGTATGGATAGCAAAAAGCAATTAGCTGATGTCCCAATTTTGATTTTATTGAGCCCTATGAAGCAGATGAACAGTATCCTGACCCTCTAAGAATGTTCACTCTGTGGCTAAGGGTTTCAAAGGACAGTGGAGCAAGGGCAGACCCATAAATCAGTCTCATTCTGTAGAACCAGAGCACAGCAACTGTTCAGACGATGGCAGCCTTGAGGTTATAGAAGTGGCTGTGGAAGTCACCGCAACTTAAATGATGATTTCTCTCTCCCCTCAAGGAACATCCCCAGCACAGAGTTATTTGAATTAGGAGTCACACTTCCAGGCAAGTGGCACGTGAGAATAGTAATCCTCTTGTAGGAAAACAAATCAATTCTGGCAGTTTAATTCGGGTCTCTGTGTTTGCATCAAACAACCCTACTTGTTTAAAGCAGTTAAGCCTTATGCTCACAACGTGTCATTATAAACTGAGACCATGAATACTTGTCCTTCATGCAATAGCAGTCAAATATATCTCTTTGCTTTTGATAGATTAGGAATTTTTTTAGTGAATAATGAGAGCTAATTTAAGTCAGAATTTCCTGGGGAGAGAACAATGAAAAATAGGTTCAATTGCTTCAATGAAAAATTTAACTAGGATTTTTTTCATCTTAAAAGCTGGAAACAATTTAAACCAATAAACTTTAGGCAAACTGACATACAGAATAGCTTAATATAACCTAGAACAGATTCCTCCCTCCATTTTCCATTTTCATTTCAACTTTCTGCTATGCATTTTTCACTTACTCTATCTTATACATATGAGAAGTCTCTTAATCCGTAAGTAATCCCATCCATAAACTCATCATATTCTACAGAGAAAAGTCAAATAGATAGACATACTTCAGGTTATACAAAGTAAAAGGCAAAGCTTGGGTTTGGCTGAAGTGTAGATGAAGTCCTGAGGGCTGCAGTGCTCACACCCAGTGCCCCAGGTTTAGAGCTAATGTTTCCTTCAGTGCAACGTAGTCCACATGTTGGAACAGGCAGTAAAAGCCGTCACTGCTCCCACATCCTGCTTCTTCCTGGCCTTTTTTGATTTTATACAGGAGTTTGGAAGGGGAACTGGTACTACGTGGTACTTGGGATATCATGCAAAGAAATAAGGGTATTTCAGAGGGTATTATGTCCTCTTGCTGCATGGAAGACACCAAAAGCTCAGTTCTATGCACACTGAGGCACAAGCTTGTCTAAGGGTTTTGGCTTACTTTAGGAAAAAAAAAAAGAGGCTTGTTTCTACATCTGTAAAGTACAAACCCCTGGCTCTGGTTTCATCATGCCATGGTGCTAATTATGAAAAATACCAACAGCTTCCTTCAAGAACTTTTTATGGCTCTTGAGGCTGTCAATAGCTGTGATAAAAAAGAAGGGAAATTTCTTTCAGTCCCTTTCTGAAAGGGGGGTTAACAATTAATTAACAATGCACACTGAGGCACAAGCTTGTCTAAGGGTTTTGGCTTACTTTAGGAAAAAAAAAAAGAGGCTTGTTTCTACATCTGTAAAGTACAAACCCCTGGCTCTGGTTTCATCATGCCATGGTGCTAATTATGAAAAATACCAACAGCTTCCTTCAAGAACTTTTTATGGCTCTTGAGGCTGTCAATAGCTGTGATGAAAAAGAAGGGAAATTTCTTTCAGTCCCTTTCTGAAAGGGGGGTTAACAAATTAATTAACAATTTAAAAAAAAATTTTGATTAACAAATCCTATGCTTTTTTTCACCTGGCATTTAATGTTATATGCTTCCATTTGATCAGAGAGCCCTTTTCATGTCTGCTGGAAACAATAATCTGAATTAATTTCATTCTCCAGGTGTAGTTTTCCACTTACTGGTTTTGTCTTGAAAATTTAAAATGTTATATGAATATAAAATCCTCTACTGGGACTTTCTCTACATGATATGCAGTATTTTCTGATTATCAAGCAACAAATGCTTGGTAAGCATGTTTTTAGCATATTTGGCTACCCTTGTTCAAGCTCAATAATTAAATTGACCAAACGAGCAGGATGCTGAAGATATAAAAAACTATTTCTCATGAGTAAATGTTGCATATTGAGGTTCCTGTTATTCTTTATTATGTCTGTTGGGATCATTTTCACAACTGTATGGTTACATGTTCCAAGTTTCATAAGACCAAATATTGATACGACATTGGAATTTCAACAGTACCCACAATTTCTACACCAGTGGGGTTTTAACTAGTTATTCTAACCACTAATAAATACCACCCATAGTTATTGGCCAAATTCTATTGCTCAGCCTTGAACATTATTCTATTGCTCAGCCTTGAACACTTCATTTTCCGTTCTGTCTCAAAAAGTTTTCTTTTTAAAATTGATTTTCATTGTCTTCTTTAACAATAAACAAGTGATGTTATTTACTTCTATTACATTTAGAAGTGTCACGTAAGCTCTGACAACCAGCTCCCATTTCCCTTCTGCAACTAATATGTCTTTGTTTCTATTTTTTTTTTATCTTCTTTCATTAATGCAGTAGTGCAAATAATGAGGAAAATCATATTATGACTGTTAAAAGTATAGTCCCTATGTCCTTATGCTCAGTGTCTCAATTCTCTCAGTTCTTGATATAATTTAATGAGATGCTAATATGCACTTTTATTAAAAACAAACATTTTCATCTTTCAGAGTGGCAAAGTTTTAAGAAAGTATGCAGCCATAAATACAACGTTGCCTCTGACAGAGAGTATATACAACTCCAAAATTACTTCCAGAAGTTTAAAGCACTCCACTTGTCTTTCCTATAAAAATACGTTTCATTAAGACAGGACTATCTGTAGGAATTAAGGTGACTCCACTTAGCTCCACTAAGCTCATTTATCATAAGGAGTTATATGATCTCCACGATATTTGAATAGAGAAGAGACGTGTCTTTCTCATACAGCTCTATGGCAAGGTACTTCTCACAAAATTTTCAATAGGGAACTGAGGCACAGAAAGTCTAAGTGGTGTGTCTAAAATATGTAAGAATTAGAGAGAGAGAGAAAAGAAATTAATTGAGGTTTCCTTCCAGTGGGACAGATTCTCACTGCCTAGGAGAGGGAAGTGGGAATGCCTCTGCCAGGAGTTGAGCAGGAAAAGGTAACTCCATAAAACTCTTTTTATGCTTCTCTCATTTTGATTTCAAGACAAAGCTACTGTAGGGGTAGAGTTGTACGGAGTTGTATGAACTGTACACAGAGGTTGGATTTCCTTAGCTTAGGATTTTTTCAATTGCCCTGAAATACATCTTTATTCTTATCCATTGTGTCCCCACTAATACAAATAAGTATCATGCTGGTATTCAGCTAAGTAATTCTTTTGTCATCCATAGATGGACAGGGGATTACATGGCTAAGAAATGAAATAAAAGCTAAATCCCTATGCTTGATAAAGCTTTGCTTGTTTTCTCTTTCATTCAGGATTACCGAGTGAACATCTTTCTCCGTCAGAATTGGAATGATCCACGCCTCGCATACAGTGAATATCCAGATGACTCTTTAGACTTAGATCCATCCATGCTGGATTCAATTTGGAAACCTGATTTGTTCTTTGCTAATGAAAAAGGTGCCAACTTTCATGAAGTTACAACAGATAATAAGTTGTTGCGAATTTTCAAAAATGGAAATGTACTTTATTCCATCAGGTGAGTCTCTAATCAAATGATTTTTTTCAGATAGAAGCTGAAAGTGTACCTAAGAATTGCTAATGGAGATTTTCAGTTGCTAGTCATGCAGAACTATCACTAAAGTAAATGTGAGTTTTGAACACAGAACTTTATCATCATTACTGTTCATTGTTAATTATAAAATAGAAAATGATCCCTCATTAGGAATATGCATAGTGAAAATAATAAGAAAAGTATCTTTTCCATTTTAAAGTACAGATACTGAGCCTAGAGGAGCTAGGACACTTGCACAGAGCAAATAATCGTGGGGTATTATAATTTGAGCTGGCCTATGTATGAGTTTCACATGCTGTAGCTTCCAATGTCATGACAATCCAATGTTATTTCTTTTTCACCTTTTTGGATACTGCAGTTGCACTTCAACATGGAAACATGACCTGTTTGAGGAAACATGAGATTTAAAGAATAGTTCACTTACTGCTGGAGATGGAGAGAAAAGTGGAAAGTAAACTTTTGAAAAGGTTTAAGAAGCTGTAAACAGCAATCACATATAAGTATTGACAATATCTAGTTATTCTACTCCTTTACTCTTCTCCCTACTTTTATTAATACAGATATTAGTAGGCATTTTACCACTATCTTCAAAAACCTGATCTAATGAGAGACACATTGAATATATGTATACTAATGCCCCATTAGACATGATATAGGTTTGGTATTAATACAGTGACCTACTTGTGCAAAATGTTACACTTTTCAAAATAAGTATACTTCTTGTCCACTTAGTGTTTTGCTTTGCATGTTTTTATGATACTGCATTAATGGCTAATTGGATTTTTTGAAGAGACATCAGGAATCTGTAAAACAGTTTGCATACTAAGAGAAAAAGAAAATGTTTGTGACTTGCGTGGATGTATCAGTGACAAGGGAGTCTCCTTCCTCCCTCCTTCCAGTGCAAGTGGGCAGCGTCTTGTCAAGCTTACACCAGGAGAGGGTTAGGTGTTAGGTTAAAATTCCTACAAGCATTTCATATCCAAAAGGAGGTTAGTCTGCCAGTCTGGGAACATAATCCTTCTTCAGTGTCACAACATGTATTCTGTCACTAGAAACAGATGGAAAGCAAGTAAAAAGGATCCCTTCCCCGGACCCAAGTATAAAGTAGAGCTAAATCAATTATCTCCAGACTGTCTGATTCACCCTGAGAGGCACTGGCAGTTGTTCCACTCTAATCAAATAACTCCTCCTCTTTACCCCACTCCCTCCAGAGTCATACAACACAGAGTATAGACACCACCGCTCAACTGAAGCAAGTTTGGATTGCAACTTCAATAGAATTCAGATCAAGTTCATGGTCACATGAAATGGGGGGAAAAAAAGAAACATGAGAAATATTATAATACTAAATTATAAAAGCAAACATTGACTGTGATGAAAGCAGATGCCAGATAGCTCCTGTGTTTCTTATGGAGCCAGAAAGTTTATGTTGCCATGATTTAATTAAGAACTATTACAATTTCTGAAACAGATTTAAAATCATACAATTGGCATCTTACTGAGTTTGTATGTGAATTTGAGTCAGTTAAGCTTTTGATCAGGGGAGACATGCTAATTGCTAACGTGCTGATATTAAAAGAAAAAAAAAAGAAGATTTCTAAATTTGTTTTTTCCTTTCATTCCCTAATGTCTCCTCCTCCCCTAATTGCATTGGAACAATTCAGACAAGAAAATAATGAGAAGGTTCCAGTTCCTGATTCAAAGAACACTTAATATAAAATACTAAAATATTTACTGAAGCACAAAGTAAAGTCCAGGTGCCTCTTCTCTGAAATGACTTGCCATGTTACTAGCCTACTAGTCAGATTTTGCATTTGGAACCATTTTTAATAGCATGGGAATATGGCCAGGGTCCAAGTTTCCTCCTTGGACTCTCCCCCTGCAGCTCTGTCACTCGCAGGCTAAAGTGGAGTGACACTTAGCCACTGGAGAGGGAAAAAGTAGGGTAAAAGAAATATACAGCCATGCTTGCCGCCTACTGCCCATTTCCCTTTAGCCCCAATGCCAAGAACGGGGGAATGGGTTTAAGAGCAGGGGATTAGAGCACTGCCATTCTAGAAAAGCCGTATGTGTAAGGAATTGAATTCAAGCTCCTCAGGTTTTTGAAGAAATTCTGTCAACTGAACTGATAAATGAATATGGGGCAAAATTTTCATGCAAGGCATTTTCTAGCAAGAAGAAAGGTGCAGTCATGACCCTGAATGATGAATGGGTGCCTAAACATGGCCAGTGAGGGAAAACATGTGCCTTTACCTCTTATATTCTTCTTTCTCATTCCTCCAAGAAGTACCACTCTAAAGATAAGTTATTGTATTGATATAAAATGTAAAAATACCTCTTTTGCCTATAGGTTGCAAAGTATTTCACAGGAAGTATCAGGACTAATGTGAAACACAGCTGCGGTTCAAAATAACAGGCATATTTCAGACTACCATCAATATCATAAAATGTTATCATCTTAAACCTTTGTGTTGACAATTTAAACACCTTATTTTAGGACAATAACACATAAATTACTTTGCCACCATGATTCACAGCTGACATCTGTTATGAAATTCTTGCAAATATGGGTAAATTTTATGTCAAGCATTTGAAATACTGTAACAGTACAATAATTCTGCTGTAGCACAAAAAAGCATTCTGTGGTTGCATTCGTTTAGACTTCACATAAAGTTAGGCAACCCTATTGAAAAATGTGTTTTTTTGAAAATCTGTAATAGCTTTTTTCCACATTGTCATACTAGGCTGAGCGAATGAAATGGGTTCAGTTAATATACATCCTTTCTGAGAGCTTTCTAATGAAAAAATGTATTTTCTTCTATTTCTAATGACTTCCAGTGTTTTCATGCATTTTTCCTGTGCAGTTCTAGGGCATTTTTGTGGTATATTTTTAATATTTTTTTGTGTTCTTCCAGATTGACTTTAATACTGTCCTGTCCGATGGATCTCAAAAATTTTCCAATGGATGTGCAAACATGTATAATGCAGCTGGAAAGCTGTAAGTTTGAGTAATGTACTATTCTATAAATACTTTTGTTGGGATTACAACAACTATGTAGGAGGTAGAAAGACCCGTTGTAGTGGTACAAGAACAAATTTTTTAAAAAGAATCCTCTATTTTACCAAAAGAATCTGTGAAACATGCATGATTGTCAAAGGAAGAGATTCTTTCATCCTTATTTGTACTGAAAATCAACAGTTTTGTGTAAATCTAAAGTTATTACTAAACTTAAATACCCAGTGCCAGTTTGCCTTTATGCAAAATTTATGCATATGGGGATTCACCTTTAAGTCTTCCTTGTGTTCACACATACAGGGGGACAGTAATATGGGAGTAATAACAGAGTGAGAATAACTTGAGAGTGATTTATGTGATTTATGTGACTATCCTGAAATTGATAATAACTCAGTGTCCTTAAAAGCTGGAAACAAGACAATATATACTGAGTACCTGCTCTTCAGATTCCTGCCCTAGTTCTTCAGCATGCTTACATGTTATAGCTGCATATCTGTAGCTTTTACCTAATCATCCTAGAAGGGAATAGGGAAAGGATTTACTACAAGGGAGAACTGTAGAAGATTGCACAGCATATATATGTAATATATGTATATATGTATATGCCCATGTACCTACATAAGGTATGTCACTTACACAGCGCTCACCCCCTCAACTGGGGCAGTGCCTTGGATCAGTAGAACACCCCCCAGAAAATCTTGGGAAGGGCTGTAGAGCCCTTGCATTATGAGGAGGAAGAAGTCCATACAAGGTATCATGTAGCTAGGGATAAAATGTGAGCATGATCTGACCATCAATGCTAACACTAGAAAAATTTCTAGCATCTTCCAGACTCTGGGCTTAAAGGCATTTGTAGTAGCACAGATAGCTTGACATTGAAAACACCCAGCAAAACACAGAAAGAAAAAAAGACCTGATAGCTTTCTAGTGCAGAGAAGGTCTGACAGTTTGACCAAACCGGTGTTACACTAGAATTTCAATGGAAAAAGTGAAATTACAACTCCATGTGTTTTAAATAATCTCATCATAAAGCCCTATTTGCATTATACACAAATATCCTGAGGAGAGCAGAGGAGAAGGTAAAACCAGCTTACACAAGACAGGCTTTGCAGAATTATCTTTTAGTTAACAGCAATATTTTTTATGTGAAGTAAAATTAGCATTTGTTAACTCAACCCATTATATTGTACTTATCATCTCCCTTGATATCTCACTTAGAACATAAAAGAGGATGGAAAGCATACAGCAGCTATGCCATTTCAAGGCACACACACAGACAAACAAAAAGACAAAACCAAAGGTTCTGTCTGATGCTATCATCTGAGCTACCACAGGATGTGTGAGGAGGAAGGCACAGATATGCATTAAATTCTCATTTTCCTTGTTATATGAAATATTTGGGAATTGCCTTTTCCCCTGAAAATGAGAGGACTTTGGAAGAGATTCCTAGCAGAAAAATCCTCCTAATGATGTGAAGAACAAAAAAAAAAAAAAAAAAAAAAAAAAAAAAATTTT